CTAATGATAAACATGAGTGCTCACTAAGTGCCAGGCATTATTTTAAACTCTTTCTAAGCATTATCCCACTTAATTGTCATGATGAGAAGGAATGGCTTTATAAAGTGAATAAACTGAGGCCCAGAAACAGGAGTTCAATAACTTGCCCAAGGTCACACAGCTATTAAATGGGAGAGCCAGAAATTAGAACCAGGCAGTCTGATTTTAGAACTCATGCCCTTAAACCACTGTATCACAGAGCACCATTAATTTGCTGCGGTGTGCAAATCCGATTTCTCCAGTGGAGTATGAGCTGAAACATTTCATAGTTATGTTTGTCTCTCTAGCATCAAATACGGTGCCTGACTTATGACAAGGAATGGAAAAATGCACAAAAGACATTAAACCAGACAACTAATGGGTCCAGGCTGCCTGTCACTACTTGAGCCAATTAAGCAGAGACAAGGTTGAATCATATATGAGTGTTTATGCCAATCATGCTAACAGTATAGGAGAGCAGCAGGTCATCCACGAAAATCTGCTCTACCCACTTCCTCCCCATAAGCCAGCTGCTTATATTGGGTGGAAGGACAAAGATTACATGGGAAAGCAGGAATTACAAGCAGGGGAAGTAGGCAAGGGATAATGGTTGCAGGTAATGCAGGCTCGGGGGTCACAAAGGGAGTGCGCCTCCACACCAGATTGTTTTAGTAACAAGGTTGCTAATCTTTCCATGATGATAGGCAGTTCTCTGCAAAGGAGCATGGACTGCATTCCCAGGTTAACTCCCATGTCCCAGGGCGTACTACTCTCAGCTAGGTCAGAATGTGCTGTCTCTCATCAGAACAGTCACAGTTACAGTATAATTAATATTTCACAGAGCATGATTAATATTTCTTATAACTATAGCTAGTCCCCACTATTCTATTTCTGCCCCTAACATTTTTCTCGGGAATTTCTATGAACAAGATAACGTCTTCTGCAGATAGAGATAAGTTTCCTCCCTTTTCAATGTGGATGCCTTTATTTCCTTTTTTCTTTCCTAACTGTCCTGGCAAGAACCTCCAGTACACTGTTGAATAGAAGTGGCAAGAGCAGACATCCTTGTCTTGTTCTGATCTTAAGGGGAAAGCATTCAGCCTTTCACCATTAAATAGGTTAGCTGTGAATTTTTAGACACATTTATCGGATAGAAGATATTCCCTTTCGTTCTGTTTTTTGAATTTTTTATCATAAAAGTGTTAGATCTTGTCAAATGTTTTTTCTGCATTTATGGAAATAATCATGTGGTTTTGTCCTTTATTCTACTGATGTGGTTATTAGATTCATTGATCTTCAACTATTAAAACAACTTTGCATTCCTGGGATAAATTTAACTTGGTCATGGTGCATAACCCTCTTTATATGTTGCTGGATTCAGTTTGCTCATATTTTGATGAAGATTTTTTGGTCTATATTTGTAATTTTCTCATTTTATGTGTGATATCTTTGTCTGGTTCTTGTATCAGGGTAATATTAGCCTCAGTAAATGAGCAAGGATGTATTCCATCATCTCCCATTTTGGGGAAGATTTTATGAGGAATTGGTATAAATTCTGTCAACATTTGTTAGAATTCACTGGTAAAGTCATCTGGGCCTTGGGTTTTATTTTGCAGAAAGTATTTAAATTATCAATTCAATCTCTTTACTTATTCAAATATTTTATCCTCTGAATCTATTTTGGAAATTTATGTCTTTCTAAGAGTTTATTTATTTCACCAATTTTATCTAATTTGTTGCCATACAATTATTTTTGGTACTCCCTAAAGTATTTCTGTGGGTGGTTAGTAATGTCTCCTCTTTCATTACTGTGTTTACTCATTTGAGTCTTCTTTCTTCTTGGTCAGTATTTCTAGATGTTTATCAATTTTATTGAACTTTTCAAAGAATAACTTTTGGTTTTTTATTTTCTCTATTATTTTTCTATTTTCTATTTCATTTATTACAACTTGAATCTTCCAGTTTCTCTGATTTCCTTGCTGTTTGCTTTGGATTTAGTTTGTTCTTCTTTTTCTAGTTTCATAAGGCTCAAAGTTAGGTTATTGATTTGAGATTTTCTCCTTATATGGGCATTTACAGCTATGAGTTTCTCTCTAAGCATTACTTTAACAGCATTCTATAAGTTTTGATTCTGTGTTTTTGTGTTCATTAAACTCAAAGTATTTTCTAATATTCAATGTGATTTCTTCTTTGACTCATTGATTATCTAGAAGTATGTTAATTTTTACATTATTTCTGAATTTTCAAATTTATCTGCTATTAATTTTTAATGTAATTAGAAATTATTATTAGATAGCATACTTTGTTAGTTTACTCCTTTTAATTTATTGAGACTTGTTTTATAGCCTAAAATATGATTCATCTTAAAAAAAAAAAACAAGTTTCACAAGTGCTTGAAAAGTATATGTATTCTGATGTTTTGGGGTAAAATGGTCTATCTGTAAGTCTAATTGGTTTATAGTTTTACTTAAGTATCCAACTTACTTTTTGATCTGCCTGTTTGTTCCATACATTGTTGAAAATTAGCTTACGTCTCCAACTATTAGTGATGAATTGTCATATTTTTCTCTTCAATTATGTCAGATTTTGTTTTATGTATTTGGGGGCTTTGTAACAAGATGCATATATGCTTACATTTCTTTCTCTTTACTACAGATTAATGCTTTCATTGTCATAAAAAGTCATTACTTGTCTACATAGTAACAATTTTTTCCTTAAAATCATTTTTGTCAAATATGTTTGTAGTGGGTCCTCCTTCCTTATGGTTATGTTTATTTATAAGTAGAGGGATATGTATATACATCCTTCTACTTCCAATTTATTTATATATTTGAATCTAAAATATACAGTGAGTGGCCAGAATATTATGACCACCTGACATTTGTAGACAAATTAGCTATAATTTCCCGCTGAAGTTGCTAGAAGGCCAGATCATTATAAACATCTGAATAGCACAACATACCTAAGTATCGTTGTTTTCTCTTTCTTATCCTTCTGAGACTCCCATTATGTTTATGTCAGTATGCTTGATAGTGTCTCACAAGACTATTCATTTTCCTTTATTCTCTTTTTCTATTTCTCATACTGAATAATCCCAATTGACTTATCTTTATGTATGCTGATTCTTCTGCCAACTTAAATCTGCTATTGAAACCCTCCATTTAAAAAGTTATTTCAATTATTATACTTTTAGCCCTAAAATTTCTATTTTGTTCTTTTTAAATAATATCTATCTCTTTATTAACAATCTCTATTTGCTAACATATCATCTAATATTTTCCTTCTCTTTAGACATGGGTTCTTTAGTGTTTTTTTAATATATTTATAAGAGCTGATTTAAAGTCTTTGTCTAGGAAGTCTAACATCTGAGCTTCCTCAGAAAGTTTTTATTTACTGCTTTTTTCCATATGTATGGGTCATATGTTCATTTTGTGTGTGTGTGTCTCATAATTTTTTTAAAACTGGACATTTTAAGTAATACAATGTGGCAACCCTGGACATTGGAATCACCTGTTCTCCAAGTGTGTGTGTGTGTGTGTGTGTGTGTGTGTGTGAGAGAGAGAGAGAGAGAGAGAGAGAGAGAGAGAGAGAGAAAGAGAGAGAGAGAGTATACTCTCTGGGTTTACTGTTTTTGCTATTGTGGCTATTGCTGTATTTTGGTTTTGTTTTGTTTTGTTTTTTAGTGACTTCCTATAATGTACCACTCAATCTCTGCTTATTAGCTTTGTGGTCAACTAATTATTGAACTGAGATTTCCTTAAAGACTGAATCAATAAGATTTTATTTACTCTTTGATAAGGGTCTCTGTGTGTATATTGGGATACGCTTGATCTAAAGATCTCAAATTGGCTCCACCTACATTGGTAAAACCTTAGTTCAAAGCATCCACATCCCCTTCCCTTTTCTTCCAAATCATAGGTGGCAACGTACATACTTAAACGTTTCAATAACAAACACTTTGAGTAGTGAAATGCTTTTGGTTCAAGAACCCCTTGAGAATCTTATGAAACCATGTGTCATAGCTCCAGAGAAATGCATATATGTCCATGATTTGGGCTATAATTTTTGAGGGTTTGATTAAATTTCTTAATCAATTTAAGAGCTACAAACAACATATTTTTATAAATATGAAGATATACGGAGAAAGGGGAGAGATCAGGGAATTTTGAGGCTCCATTTTCATAAAGGAGGAGAGAAAAATATCCCTAGAGGGGAAATGACTTGCTTAATGTTAGATGATAATAGACATGAGCCATATCCAGGTCTCCTAATTCCTAGGTCAAGATTTCCCTCACCAAATTTCCTTGAATAATAGAACCAGTGACAGTTCTCTTTAGGTTCTCCTAGATTTTTATAGGCCCTGAGTCCCAGATAAGCTCTTACTATTGTGGTTTCTCTAACTAGATCTGACACTCATATCTAATGCCAAGGATCTTTAGGAAAGGGAGATAGAGGGAAACCTGGCCTGTCATCCAGCAGGTACTAACTAGATTTATATGGTTACACTGTGCCCAGCATGATGGAGGCATCAAGGGGTCACAGAGAAAGTCAAAGACATAAGACAGATAATCTAGCTGTGAAGACAGAACTATGTCATAACACAATGCTGGAGCAACCCAGTATGAAGAGGAGAATGGAGAAGTTGGTGTAGGTATGAATATAAAGGCAAGGCTCCATGGAAGACAATAGAAAATTGAAAGATGGGTAGAAACTAAAGAAATGGAGGAAAGATTGAAGGTATTTGTGGAGGGGAAAGGTAATAGGTACTATGCAAGAAAAGAGAGAAAGGGGGGAAAGAGTACAGTGAAAGGGAAATAGAGGACCAAGTCTGAATGGTCCTCTATTTCTGAGGGTTGTCAGTGGTTTTCTCATAAAAACTTCTATCCTATGGAGCCTCAACATGCAGCTCCAGCTTTGATGTCCCTGTTCTGGGGCCACCCTCGGAAGCTAACCATTTCATGTGTCTGTTTGACTCTTCGCAGCTCCCTTTCACTGAAGGCCTGTACCACTTTTATCACAATGGCCTTGCAAAGGCCAGGAGAAAACGCAGCCTACACCACAAGCAGCTGCTGGAGAGAGACCCCAGGGTAAGTTTTCCTGGAAACCTATCTTCCAATTTCTGCCACCAGATGCAGGCTCACTGGGGTAGTATAAAGAGGGTTGCCAGGGAATTTTGAAGTAAAGGCATTCAATGTATTGAGATAGGCCAATTGGATCCTTGGCAGAGTGGCACGGAGGACTCTCTGCTCCTCTATCTTGTGTATTATAAATAAGCCTTTAATAGGACTGGGAGAAGAGTAACAAGAATACCACCCTTTACTGGCTTGTCTTCTCCTGCATTATTGTGTGAGACCTTCTGATTGCCTGGGAAGATGTTTTGGCCTGTGATGGGTGGAAAGACACCAAGTAGGTTAGGGAGTCATTTTATAGAAGATTTCTACTGGTGAATCCTCATGCTCTGAGGAAGTTGCCCCATATTAGGAATGGGGAAAATGAGCTCATATAGGCAGTGGGCTTCTCAGTATCCATGATGGTTGCAGACATGGGAGCATCTCAGCTCCGCTTCTCACCTTGTATTTTCTCACACTGACTTAATTTATCACCATATTTCAATGGTCTTTTTAAAGCTCATGCCCCTTATTTTTTTAACCTCTAACCTTTAGCTTATTCTTGGAATCCAGGTCTCCTTTTCTATTTTTCCTAGCAGTTTAAATTCAATATTCCTGCAGCCAAACTTATCATCTTAACCAAAGTGGCAACTTTTTCAGTGTTCCCATTCTCTGTTTTCAGAATAAAAACTGGTCATCACTGAAGACTTCCTCTTCAAATTTTGTGGGCATCCCATATATTTACATACACATTCAGTCGGATAGATTCTGATTTTCCCTATGCAATTCACTAAGAGGAAAATTAACAATCCAGGCAAGTTGCTCTCTATGCATTGAAGATGCATAACCTCTTCACCAGGACTCTTGAAGGAAAGTGGATATAGAGAGGGTCAGACATTTGAGTTACGGATTTACACATGAGACTCCTTTTGAGCTTATGGAATTTGTAAATTCATTCTGGTGAGGCATTTCATATGAACATTTGACTGAGTTTAATTCGGGCTTTAATTAGCAATGTAGGTGAAACAGGGTTCCCAGCAGATCACCAACTAACAGGTCACGGGCAATTTGCCTTTAATTCCTCAACCCAGGGGATCCCACATTCTCTGTAGTGGAGATTCTACTCTGAGAAGCCACTTCATCTTTACTGTCAGACTAAGATTCAAGCTGCATGTGTTGCCAGCCAATGCCAGGTATTCTCAAAGTGTCTGTTGTAGAAGCTGGAACCACTATCTAAGGGAGAAGTTCTCTTTTCTGTGTTATAGCAGCCTTAGCCTGACTACAATTCAGTGCCCGGATGCCCTTGAGAAGCTCATGGCCAGGGATCCTGTCTTTCTCATCTGTGAATCCAGGGTGGGCAACAGTAGTTAAAGACCACTCTGGTCCACTAGGACACTGGTTTTCCCTACACTGCATCTTGATCTTACCCTTTATGGCCAATTGTTTTCCTTTTATTTATAGATTTTCTTATAAGTCCCAATGGTTTCTCCTCTTCCATGAGTAAAGATGTTGCCCCAAGGTCACTAAGAAAGAAACACAGAAAAGAAACTGGAACAGAAGGAAAGATGCTTGAAAGATGTGGGCTAGGAAAGAGAACTGAAGAACAGTGAAACTAAGAAGTCATTGGTCCAGAGAAACTTCTTGGGATTGTTAGGCTAAGGTTTTCTTATTCTTGCACTTACTTGAAATGATTTTTGAAATGCTGATTCTTAAAGTGAGGAGTGATGTCTCAAAAAGAGAAGGAAATAAGATGGGTTGGGTAATAAGAAATGAAATTATGCACTGGTGATTCTAATCATTTATTTTCCTCCTCAAAATATTATCTACTTTAACCAAAAGGGGCATCCATTCTACCTTCATTGCCATTATAAGGGCCGTGGGAGTCCTCTGCCTCTACCTGGTAGAGGTATTCATCTTCCCTGCCCGTGAAGATGAACAAAAAATAGCAGGGAAACTGAAGACCATAAAAAATCCTGCACCTTTTCTCTGTCTTATCATTAAGGTTAAACGCCAAGTCTGTTGTCAATAATAAAATCATCCCAGGAAAGAAATAAAGCATAAAATCTCATAATTCTTTATTTAAAAAAAAAACTGCTAGTGACAGCTGCCTTGTTTTAAAATATTAGATTAAGGCCTGAGTCTTTCCTGTATGATATTCTTGTGGTCATCTAATTTTGGCATCAGCTGACAGCAAAACATGGGGATGACTATTCTTTAGCTATGAGCATTGCAAAAGCAGCAATGTGAGGATTCTGCCCTATGAGCTTATACACCTTAAACAAAAGGGTAAATAGGCCTGAGTGTTAGGATGCCTCACATTTTGGGTTCTCAAACACATTCAAACAGGTTTCCAAAAAAAAAAAAAGTAAATAGAAGTATAGAGAGAAAAGGGGAAGAACCGGGTAGCCAGAAAGGATTATTGATCCAGGCTTTTGTCTCTTGTGTAGATATTGCAAGTTACATCTTATGACTCAAGACATTAAAAGCAAGTTGTTCAATCATTCTCTGAAACGTGTTGTCTTCTAGACCTACAAACTTAAACATGTTTCTGGCCCCAGGTGCCTTTTTCCTCCTGTCTCTGCATTGCTTCATGGCCTCTTTCACTGGCTGTCCTCCCACTTGTGAAGAAGAATGCAAAGCCCAAGGAACCAGGCACATAGAGTAGGAGGCTTGAGCTGCTACAGGCTCCCAGGGATGAACCCACCCACCTAGCTTTGTAGCCAAAGAAAACACCAAGGTCTGCTACTAACCCAAGAAATAAACAAGAAAAGGAGAGAACAAAATCTGGTTTTGATTTTGCTCTAAATTCAGAATAGAAATTCCAAGGATGTCTGTCCCTCACTTAGCAACTAATTTTTATCTTTAAAGAAAACAATAGAAAGACTAGAAAAGGATCATAAGTGCTTTTTGTCTAGGTCAGTGGTTGGCAAACCATGGCTCAGCAAACCGCGGCTCGGCAAACCGCGACTCGGGAGCCACATGCTGCTCTTTGGCCCCTTGAGTGTGGCTCTTCCTAAGCCTTAGGAGTACCCTAATTAAGTTAATAACAATGTACCTACCTATATAGTTTAAGTTTAAAAAATTTGGCTCTCAAAAGAAATTTCAATCATTGTACTGTTGATATTTGGCTCTGTTGACTAATGAGTTTGTCGACCACTGGTCTAGGCCAATAAAGTGTTGCTTTTAATATGTATATATATCCTCATCAGTATACAGGGCAATAGTAAGAAAATAGAGTTTGATACAGACTGTTTCAAAGATGTTCTTGCCTTTCCATTTTTTTCTGCTAAAAGGATTAGCAGAATGTTGAAAAGCATCATTTAGATGATAAAAAGCAAAAGTTGTGTCTTTTTTTTTCTGGGTATCTTGGTATGCTGCAGTTCTGAGTACATAGCAGATTAATAATTTTTCTTCGGGGTTTTAATCCATGAAGTAGTATTATGTATTCTCCTCTTATTTTTTTAATATCTTTATTGATTTTAGAGGGGAAGGGAGAGGGAGAGAGAAATAAAAACATCAATGATGACAGAGAATCATTGATCGGCTGCCTCTGGCAGGCCCCACATTGGGGATCGAGCCTGCAACCCAGGTATGTTCCCTGACCAGGAATTGAACTGAGACCTCCTGATTCATAGATCGATGGCCAACCTCTGAGCCATGCCAGCCAGCTCTCATCATATATTTTTTAACCCTATTCTAAAATGTGCATCCGTTAGGAAACAGAAGTATAGCTTTTTTTTTGCCCTAACCAGTTTGGCTCAGTGGATGGAGCATCGGCCTGCGGACTCAAGGGTCCCGGGTTTGATTCCGGTCAAAGGCATGTACCTTGGTTGCAGGCACATCCCCAGTGGGGGGTGTGCAGGAGGCAGCTGATCGGTGTTTCTCTCTCATCGATGTTTCTAACTCTCTAGCCCTCTCCCTTCCTCTCTGTGAAAAATCAATAAAATATATATTTTTTTAAAAAGTATAGCTTTTTTTTTACCTCTTTCTTTAGATACATTCTTAATTGAGAGTAAAGAAAACCAATTACCATTTCATTATTTCTAAATCTTGTCACTGAGAATCTCATGAAGAACCAGTTTTTTATTTCCAAAGTCTAGCACACTATATTCCTGGTATATTCACCATCCTAGTACAACCTCTGAAGCAAGAACAATATGTTTAAAAAGTTTTGGTAGCTAAAATTATTTGAAAATGTAATAAATACATCCAGGTGAGATTTGTTAAACTCTGGCTAAGAGTAGCATCAACAAATCTTGACACCAAACCTAATTGTGGTCCATGGTCTACATATCAAGCCCCAAAATTTCTACAAGTATGTGGAAAATAAATGTATTTAAGATAATATTTGTTCACATTTCTGTTGAACTATATTTGTGTATCTGATGACATAGCATTGAAATAAAATACATTTAAAAACACAAACTCACATTGTTCAATGAGCAACACACACTACTCATATGGAAGCCCAATAATTTAACAAAAAATAACCTGAACTTCTTTTGTTGAGAGGAGTTATATTTAACTCAAGAATTATAAACATTTATTACCTTTCCTAAACAATTTTGCTAGATCTTAGAATTATTATTTAAAATCATTTTTAAACTTCTTTTAGTTTTATAAGTCAGAAACTCCTATCAGTCAACTGAAAATGTTTCTCTGTTCCCTGTCTCAAAGAATGGATGTTTTCCTTATCTAAATGTATGTACATATCTAATGATCATAGATGACAACCACTTGGGTTATATGACCTATTGTTGTTTTTCATGGGTCTAATCTGAGCATATTTGTGAAGCTTTAGTGTACTCCAAAAACCCACAAAAGTTAGTTTCCCAGGATAGTCCTTCAAAAATCCCACAGAACCATACCACCAGAACAAAAGAGAATTTTACCTACTCTTTAAAATTAACTGGATGTGACTGGTGTGATTTGTTTGTAAACATCAAAATAATGAGTGAACCAGGCTTTCTTTGTTTGTG